GGACTGCAGTCACAGACTTTCACCAGATCAATCTAACTGTTTGCATGAATTTTGTTTGATCAAATGCAATCTTTTGGTCATTTTTACTCAATTTATATGAACATTGAATTATCCCAATGATTTAATAATAATTACTTTCTGGCATTTTGTTTCATGTTAAATGAGATGACAACCATTTTTTTTCTCTGGTGACAATAATGTGAAATCATTTATTTTCACTATTTTGATGTTGCCATGGGAATATTGAGTTCCATTTGTGACTGTTATTTACATGTTTACATAATTTTGCAGTTTATGCATGAAAGTAGCAAAATTAAGTCTCAGTGAATAATTAATACATTTACAGTAGTTGACGAGATTTAGTCTGAAATGGGGACATACATATAATTTGACACCCCGGGAAAAGACGGTTAAATATAAATGTCTTTCATTTTGTACACAGATTTCTGCTAGATATTTCTGTAATTTACATACATGTACACCTGCACAGTACAGAATAGTTTTACCTCTAGGTGGCAGTATACTGTATGCATGTTATGTGACAAATAATAAAATATGACACTACATTGATGGGTCTGAATACTTGGTTTCTATGGCTACAAGTTACACAAATTGTCGTTTATAAAACTATCACAGTGCTGCATCTAAGTTTACTTAATATGCCAAAATAAAATATTTTAATAAGTTTTTGCTGTTAATGTAATAAATTTTAATTATGAAAGAGAAATGTAACTCAAAGATATAATGGATATGCATGCTTTCCATCTACAATCCATCCATATGTGCGTGTGTGTATTATTCATATTTACAAGATTTTATTTGTAATGTATTGTAAAATAGAGGATTAGTATATTTTCAATTATTATGTTTGTATATTTTTCAAAAACCTGACATGTACAGATTATGCAACAAAAGTAAATTAAAATTGTAAAAGTTATTGATATTTGATTATTTCACTTCCTTTGAAAAAGGTACTCGGAATAACTTAATTAACAGTCATCCTATTTTTGAAAAATTCATAACAATTAGAAGTACCCATTTTGTTTTGTCACTGCATTTAACCAACAAACTTTTGAAATTTCAACTTGTTTATGATAAACCAATGACATGAAATGACAAATATGCAAACTTGTAAATCAAGATAGTATGAACCTCAACGTGCAAATGTCATATTCGTACATCTTATGATACAGGTCAATTATGACCTACAACATGTCGATGTGATACCCAAGTAGGACTACGGAGGCACAGACAATGCATGTGATACATGTACTGAGCCTTTAATTTGATATTGTTTTATTAGTTAATTTGTAGAAAGATGAAGTCTAATAATAAAAGCCAAACATCTCATCTCCAGCAAGACACTGTCCCATAAACTAAGGAATGCCAATAACTCATTATCAGCAGTATAAATGTCTTCATTCTGTCCACTTCTACATCTAAATGCAAATAACTGGTAATTGTATACTGTATCTATGACATGATGTATAACGAATATATAAAATTTGAATATAATCAGTCAAAGCATGGCAGAGATATGGTACTAGAAGTGCATTCATTAAAACAAAATAGCTGCCAGTTAGCCATTTTGAATCTGATCTGAAAAACAAAATGACGTGCATCAAGGTCCCATGTCCAACGTATGTACCAAGTTTAAACAAAATCAATAATAATTTTTCAGCACAAAAATGGCCATCATTCAGCTATCGTGAATCAGATTGTGAAACAAATTGATCATCTGAATGTGACTAATAAATATTGTCTATGATTCATTAAGGGGGCTCCATGGATATTGTCTGCAAGGTACAAGTATACAATACAGGAAAGTACACTACTTGGTAAAACTTATTGGAGACAAACTAACCAGAGACTAAAAAGAATCATCAGGTCAGGTAGGCTCTCAGTAAAAGTTGTGATCCATCAGCTTTGTGCCTGAAATCTATTGAAATGTTATCATACTCAAATAACTGTTCTAATTACATATTTTTGTCAAAACGGTATTGAACATTGGTAAAAATAATTCAAATTTTAGTTTATTTTGTTATTGAGTAAATTTCATAGCATCCAGGAGTATCTGTTATTATCAAATTCACTTTTTTAGTCGTATCATCACTTTATAATGCCACCTTCTAACTGGACTTACTCTACTTGGAATGCAGTGTGTGACTAGAAATAGTGTTAGTTTCAGTGGCTGCCCAACTGATAATATTGATACAGTGAACTCAAGCATACGTTATCATAAATGTGTACAGCCTGTACATTCTCTCTAATCATTGTATACCCACCCATCATCACATCATCAACACTAGAGATACATCTACACTATTTACTTGTTGAGTTACGTATTCAGTCACTAAAGGGGCATGTGTGCAATGTATGTGGTCATAACTTATTTAACTTATTACTTTATTTATTGCACGATTTGGAAATAAATATTATTTGTTCTTTTAAAGTATTAATATAATTTGATTTGTGATGACCACCACATGAGTGTATTTACAACACAGCCAATAGGTCACATGACAAACACATGTATTATTTTCATTTCGATCCATTTACTAGGAATACCTAGGAATTCCAAGGACAGATTTCTTTAACTAGTAAATAGAGTGTTTTTCAGAAGTTGAAGTGTAATTGCAATTTTCACGTCACAATGTTTAGCAGCAAACAGTCTGGATTCAAAGCATATATGATCATATGATGAATGTGTAGATTTATGATGACATGCAGACCAAAAGTTGCTGTTAAATCCTGTTATCTTATTTGTACAATAACTATGAGAAATAATCTCACAAATTGGATAATTAACAAAAACACATTTCAGCTGAAAATTTAGGTCAAGTCAGTCCTAACACATTTACATGCAAAAGTTTATAGAAATTCAACCAATGGGGATATCCTTGGTAGTTTCCATTGTGATCACACAAGAGACAAAATTCCAATCATACAGCATATTGAATAATACCAGTATATTTATTATTTGTTACTTAGATTACAATTTGACTAAAAAATAAGAACTTACATTACTTATTTATCAAAAGAAGTGAAACTTAATGTATATATGTTTGTTATTCCTGACATAAGTATAAGGCATTTAAACGCTGTTGTCTTCTGTTTTGTACGACGATAACGTTGTATTACCGTAAATAATTGGTGGACATTGTTCAGGATCAATACATCTTGCATCAAATAAGACTTTATCAGCTGGGCATTGACATCCAGGTATACAAGGTCTGAAACATTGGGCTTCTATCACTCCCAGAGGAACATCTTTGTTTTCACATGTACGTGAACAAGGTGGTCCACATTCATCAAACATAAGACCACGGTCTTCTGGACAGCGAATTGCTACAAATAAAAATAACATAAATTATTCAACAAACATCAGCGGATATATCTTCACTGTTTGAGAAGCAGACTGTGAGAGTAGTTCAACTATAATGAGCTTAACTGATGTTGTCATGGGTTTGGCTGCTATAAAATATGCATTATTATACATTTTGTATATTATTCAATTTGGCTTAAACCTATTTCTCAGTGTGAATGAAGCATGTTGGTTTTGAACACTAACGTAAGTATGTACTTACCACAGAGAGACGATGATCTCCATAGTAGAGAAACACCTGACTGTCTACATTCGGCAGCATAAGCTGATAAAATATCACATAAACAACTGTCATCAGAGCCGCATGCACACATATCATATACACATGAAGCATAGTAAGGCTCAGCAGGAACCACTGGATGGCATTTATCAAAGCGTGCTGACTTTAATACTGCACATTTAGCATTTGCAAGCTTTCTGGCACGATATCCTGCTTCCGTGCAAGGATCAATATCCATTGCGTCTTCACATTCAGCTCCTTCTGGATCAAACACCTTGAAACAAAATAAAACCTTATTCATTACCTGAACACAAGAAATAAATTATGGTGATTGGAAGCCATAACTGAACACATGACATGAATTATGGTGATTGGATGCCATAACTGAACACATGACATGAATTAGGTGATTGGATGCCATAACTAAACACATGACATGAATTATGGTGATTGGATGCCATAACTGAA